ACACACTTGCCTGTTGGCAAGTTGCTTGATTGTACTAAGCCTTCATTTCATCATTGTAAAACGAGAACAATTGCCTTACCTCCTGAGATTTTTCCAGAATTAAAGAGTGTCTGGGTATAGTGTATGCTCAGTAAATGTTAACCTCTTTTGTTGTCTTTTGCCCTCATCACATCACCACACTGGAAGGGAAAGAACCTCCTGCTTCGGGCCCTCCCACCCCTGAGGAAGGCACAGGGCAAGAGCGCACACAGAACCCTCCATGTTTAGCTCTTCCACATGTTCATATTTAGAAGCTGGGACTTTCTTAAAGTAATGAAACACCCCAGGACAGAAGCACAAATCCACCAGAAGCTGAGAAGTAAACATAAATCATAAGTAAATAATAAGAATCAGGTGGGATTGACTGTGCAAGTTCTCTCTGATGTCCTACAGCGGTGGAAAAAGCATGTGACAAAATTCTGTGAGCTTGTGGGTCTGTTTCCTCCTCTGAAAGACACAGGGCTGAGACTACTTCATTCAAAGCCAGTGCATGAGAGCCTGAGGACACAGATTCCTCCACTGCTCCCGCAGATGTGCCATTTGTGGCCAGAATCTATCAGGCACTGCTGCCAGCAGAGGCTTCCTCCAATCACCTGTTGGCAGATAGACAGCTCTCGCGCAGTGGGACCCTCATCCTGGACATCCTGCGGTGGAGTGAGGCAGTGAGCCAGACCAAGCAGAGAGGAATCAGAGAAAGGGCAAGTGACTGCTGAGTCAGAAAGCAAGAGAAGTTACAGTGTCTCCTTATGACCACTTGCTGTGGGTCCTTTGCTCTGAGCCACAGGGTGGTCTCAAGGAGAACCCAGAAAATAGAAGCCCTAAAAGAAACACAGTGCAATGCATGGTCCGTGTATTCATTAGGAACCTGAAGATATGACTGAACCTAGTGTCACAACAGGTTTGAGTGTGTTTGTTGGTACTGAAGTGGTCCCTAAACTCTATGCTGATAGACCTTCTATAAAGTTTCCCTGCCATGATCATGTCCCTTCTATATAATCATCTTTTGACACTTTTAGTGTCTAACGTATTTTATTTTAGACTATAAAATGAGTAAGCTTCTCTTGGGCTTTCCCATGAAAGGAGCTAATTTTCATCAAACAGTGGTGCATTAGGAATAAATGAAATCAAATATCAAGCCCAGCTCTTGCATCTTGCATTCATAGTCTGGGTGACCTTGGGTAAATCCCTTAGTTATGTTATACCTGTTTCTCCATCTGGCAAAATGGAGTTGATCTCTCTCTCTCTCTCTCCCTCTCTCTCCCAGGAAAGATATAAATATAAAAATAAAAAAGAACCTATATGAGACTTGCAACAACACAGAGGGATCTACAGAGTATAATGCTAAGCAAAGTAAGTCCATTACAGAAGGACAAACACCTCATTATTTCACTCATATGTGGAATTTAAGAAACAAAACAAAGAAAAAAAGAGACAAACTAAAAAACAGACTCCTAACCCTAATTCTAGAGAACAGATTGGTGGTTACCAGAGGAGAAGTTGGTGGGGGCATGGGGGAAATAGGTGAAGTTGAAGATTAAGATCACATTTATCATGATGAGCTCTGAGTAATGTATAGAACAGTTGAATCACTATATGGTACACCTGAAACAAATATAACTGTATATTAACTATACTGGAATCTAGAAAAAAGAATCAATATGAGAAAGCACTCTATACCTTTTGGAGGAAAAGGACAGTGGAGACCAAGGACAAGTGCATGCTTAAGGCAGGACACCTGGGTTCCACACAGATTCAAAGGACGCACAATTGCATCAACCTATGCCTCAGCTTCCCCACCAATAAGAAGGGCCAGCAGCATCTCAGAGCCCTCCCACTAGTACCTGGAAATTCTAAATATGTAGCAATACAAAACGTCCTGAGTTATGCCCTGCAAAGCACTTTTTTTTCTTAAAAAAAGAAAAAAAAAGAACTAGCTTATTTTAAGAATTTTCCTATTTTAATCTAAATGCTAATCATATATTCTTTTGTTTCAAAAGCTATCCAGTCTGGAATATACCCACTCCAAGATCTGAGCACACTTTGTAGTAATAATTTTAAAGCCCCAGAATTTCTATAGTCAGCGTATCTGAGACCGCTCCAAGAACAGAATGACAGACTCGGTACCTTGGCAAGGTGGGAAGTTTGGTCATGAAGTCATGGAGGAAGGCAAGAGCAAATATGGAAAACACTGTAGGGGCTGACATTTCTCATGTACCACCCATCCCACTTCCTCCTTCCCTCCTGCACTGCCCACTGCCCTGTGCCCTCCATATCCTGTGTCCAGGTCTCTGTTCATTTTATGTCCCTTCAGGGCAAAGATCTAGGCTTTTATAGCAAAGGTGAAAAGGCCTACCCATCCCATATCTACAAGCTCAAATTGGAACTAGTTCATAGGCTTATAACTCAATTATTACTGTTTTTAGTTGTAGTTTACAGAGAATTTTTCATGAACTTTAATGCGACCAATGGGCCTTATCAGTCATTTACATCATGGTGTAAATAAGTTGAAGATGCTTCTCCAGGGGTGCCTGGGTGGCTCAGCTGGTTAACTGTCTGCTGCCTTCAGCTCAAGTCATGATCCCTGGGTCTTGGGATCGAGCCCCGTGTGGGGCTTGCTGCTTAGCAGGGAGCTTGCTTCTCCCTCTCCCTCTGCTGCTTCCCCTGCTTGTGCACTCTCGCTCTTCTGTCAAGTAAATAAATACAATTAAAAGAAAAAAAAAGATGCTTCTCCTAAGAGCAAGTTTTGAGAGGAGGGAAAATGGCTCCAGACTCCCAACATCTGGGGGAGAAGCCAATTTTGAAGGACTGATGAGTCCTATTATATCCTGTGTCATCTTCTTTATGTTACTTTTTGCCTGTGCCTTATCAACATGCAAAGCTTTTTACAACACAAAGCAATGCAAAATGCACATTTTCTAATAAAGCAGAAACAATTGGTTTGGCTAATAGTTGAGCAAAACCATGAAGATTAATTGGTTAAAAAAATATTGTGTTTGTGCAAAAATGTCCTTTCTATATCCCCCAAGCCTCAATAAGAAGATTATAGTCACAATTATGGAGTCTATCAGAGTTGGCTTTAAAAAAATAAATGTACAGTGTAGATGGAAATGAAACACTTAGGCAATTATTGGCTTTCACCAGAAGATACAAAGTTTAATTATCAACATACAGCATGAAGATATTTCTTTAGCTCTCATCTTAAATACTAGAGGAAGTAGACATGCTACTGGTTGGATGAGTAGAATGGTGAATGGCTGAAAGCAACTTTTATTTACTCAAGACGGAGGGGATGGCATTATGAAACAGCTTCACATTAAGAAATAAAGGAGGTTTTAACTTTTTCAATTGCAAAATGGATGTTTAGTTCACTTCCTCCTCTGTGTTTTCTGCAGGACACTGTGGATTATAACTGAATTTGCTTTACTTCTCTTCACCATAGGTCACTGTATTGCTGAATTGAGTCTGTGAGGACATCCACTCTCCTCACTGGGACCAAATTGTCAAGTAACATGACCCCAGAGTTCTTGTCTCACTGAAGGTGATTTTTCAGTTAAGCACTGACTAAGATCAGAAAAATCATGGGTTTTTATTCTCTCTCTTTTCCTTCAAATTACCCATCTCATCTGCATTTTTACTCAAGTGAATGAGGACGGTCAAGAAAGGGTTGTCCATATGCCTTGAAAATACTGAAGTGAATCCAGTAAAAAGAGGCTCTCAGAGACCAGAAAACTTATGACTCTTTCTCAATTTACACTAATTCAAATTTTTGAGTTTACATTTGTTTCTTGATCTTGGCTTATTCCCCTAAACTATTATGTATTTATACAAAGCAGAGAACTTTTTTTGAGATAGAGCTGACATAATAACATTAAAGAGCTTCAGGTGTCCAACATAATGATTCAATATTTGTATATACTGCAAAATGATCACCACAATAAGTCTAATTAACATTTATCACCACATAGTTAACTTTTTCTCCTGATAACAATCTTTAAAGATCTACTCTCTTAGCAGCTTTTAAGCATGCAATACAGTGTTATTAACTATAGTCACTGTGCTGCACTTTACTAAAGAACTTTTAATGTTCAAAATTTATGTACAAGAAAAATAAAATTATTAATATCTGAAGTAGGAAATCTTTGAGGAGGTTTATTTATTTTTTAAGGCAAGTTAAAGTCAGTAGTTGTTGCATATGAGAATACTTGAACATTTCATTTTCTGCTCACAAATGGTCTGGCTCCAGCTAAAAACTCAGCATCCAAAGAATGCTATAATGTGCAATAGGATGAAAGCCTAGAGCCCATGCCACCTAAGTAAACTGTCCAGTCTTTCATTAATAGCTGTGCAATTCCCTGGGCAAAATTCTTGAATAATTCTTAGAATCAGTCCTTCCTTTATATATAAGTTTCTTGTAACTGAACATAAATAGTGGAGGAAAATCATGCAAAACCAAAGGTGGATGGTTGAAGAATGCATATTTTTACCTCTACCTAGTACAATTTCTAATTTACTAAAGGTCAAGCTATCTAAAAACACAATCCTCACCAAGGACTTGTAATACTGAGTTGTTTCTTGACATTCATATTTATTGACTGCCAATCCTTATTTTAAAGGACTGAATCTTCTCAACGTTCATGGGAAACAAACAGGGTATAAATCAATTAATTAATGAGAAAAATTTCTCATTGATTTTGAAATCAAAGCCAGCTCAGAGTCTGAGTAAATCTCTGGAATGAAGAAAGCAGTTTACTCCCCTTCTCCCACCCCCATCAACTCTTGTGAATAAATGAAATGAAAACCAAACCTGAGGCCAGTAAATAGCCAAAGAGCCTGGAAGTAACGTGCTCTTTCCTGGAAGAGATGAATCTAGAGACAAGCTTAAAGAAAACAAAACAAAACTATCCGCCACCAGCTACACAGAAAGAGAGGTACAATTGGGTCAGAATCCAGGAAATACTCACGATCATTATGAAGGTGCCCAAGAACTCAGAGATTGTTTCTTTAGCTAAGCTGCTCTTCAAGACCAGCCTCTGCTTGAGAGTTTTCCCCTTTCGCCCCTTCCCAGGTTGCATCGTGGGGCTTCTTCAAGGACCACTCTCTCCACCACAATCTGCTTCTTCTGGTCTCTACTTCACTCGCACGTGAAAATGGAAGTTTTGACAACTGCTCACAGATTCCTGGAGATGTCCGGTGAGATTCTCTGACTGTACAAACGCTGTCCCAATTAGAGCCCGTGACTTAATCCTCTTCTGGTGAAATTCATCCCCTGTTCACTGTTGTTTATCTGACTTAGTGAGTTAGAACCTGAAATCCCAAAAACGATTCTTTTTGTGCCTGATAGATTAATCATTACCTTTATTCTCAAGGTATTTTTTTCTCTGTTGGTTTTTTTTTTTTTTTGGTTTCTTTTTTTTTCCAAGAGATGAGAAAAGAGATGTTGTGCTGGTTGTATTGCCAAACCACAGCGATGGGCAATGGTCCAGAAGAGATTTGCATGTTACACAATTGCAGGCTTCTGATTTTTTTTTTCCCTATTCAGAAGTGGGTGGTTGGGGTGTAGTTTGGGATTATCAAATCAGGTATATATACATCCAGTGTAAACATTCTCTTCTGAAGAAACTTTTCATGCACACTGGAGAATATACAGATGTGTTGTTCTGCAAGATTAATTAAACACTCTTGTTTTCTTCCAATATCATTTCAGCAATTTAATGACACCTCCCTAAGGGTGGTTATAAACAACTACATCCATTCTAGAGATGGAGATACTAACATACAAAGAGACCATTGCAAGTTTCACATTGCAAGACTTTAGGACAGGATGGATCTCCTCCTTGTTACTGTCAGATTGGGATCCATGAATCAGAATGATGGAGAAAGCAACCTGTTGACTTTCTTCTGAAGAAGCATTCCAGTTTGAAAACCAAGTTACTCCCCTTCACTTATCATGGAATAAATATTTAAGCAAAATACAGAGAAAATAAACAATAGTGGCTTGAAACTCTATACTGCTTGAAGATCACTGAGCCAGAAAGAGAGACCCCAGTTAAGCAAGAAAGGGATTAAACACACTTCAAGAAGCCTTCTAGGTTATATCATTTAAGTTTGATTAATTAACATCCTTGCAGGCAACACACTGTTTAGGACTAGCATGTCATGTCAAGTATTCGAGCCTTGCTTCTCAAAACTAGTTTGTTTGAAGAAACAGAATCCATCAGTTGTTTCTGAATACCAAGGCCCTTCCCTGGAATCAGTACCCACGCTTTGTGCTTCCTCCCAATCCTCCCACAGAGAAGCCAGTTCTGTTTCAGGCTTCTCCCCACCTTTGCAGGAGGCCTAGTCATTTCCAGCTGAAGAGGCAGACAAGAAGGGAGGGAGAAAAGATCTGGAGAGAACAGCTGTTGATAGCCCAAGTATAGAAGGAGATACCTAATCTATAGATGAAATACAGAGTTTAGGACTAAAGAAATTCTTACTTGCCAGAGGGAACACCATTGCAGAGCCAGGATAAGAACCCAACATTTTGGCTTTAATTATTGGTTAAGTTATCATGGATACCATTGTCTAGAAGGGTTACTTATGACTATACTATTCCCAAGTCCCAGTGGATGGACCAGAGAAACAGGACTTGATTGCAGTGACTACAACTAACCCCACACAAGGGTGTTCTTTGGTCTTTTCATTCACTCATCTAACAAATATTTATGGCATACTCATTATGTGCCAAGGACTGCCCCTAGCAAAGCACACACAGTTCTTGCCCTTTACAGAGCTTAGAGTCTCATGAGGGAGATAGGCATAGTGAAATAATCATACACACAGAACTATGAAGTCACAACTAAGATTTAGGCTACACAGATGGAAGACATATTTCTATGAGCAAATAAAAGAGGGGGACTTCACCTCAACAGAGAGACCTCTGATGGCTTCTAAGGAAATCATGTCCGAGCTGAGATCAGAAGGAAGTGTAGGGTTTAACTGCATGAAGTGGGGAAGGAAGTGCATGTACAATGGCCTTGGGGAGTGGGGGTGGGAACAGTACGATGCCTGTCCAAGAACAAAAGAAACCTACTGCCTGGCTCCCAGGTACAGTGAAGGAACACAGTGCAAAATGAACCTGGAGCCATGGGTGGGAGTCAGACCATACATACTGAGCCTATAAATCATATTCAGGGCTAAAAGCAATGATAAATCACACAGGTAGTTTGAGAAAGAATACGACACCACCAAATTTGAGTTTAAAAAAAAATCAGCTTGGCTGTGAGGTGGAAAGGGGATTGGAGGGGGACTAAAGTATACCCACTGGAGACTATTACAGAATTCCAGGACTGAGTGGCTTGGATAATGTAAAGAAATGGAAGGATTCAAAAGTTCTTTATATCTTAAAATTGGAAGAACTTGGCCGCTTGGCTATGGAAGGTGAGAAGAGGGACTCAGTTGATTGCTGGGTCCCTGGCTTGCTGGGAAAGGAGGTGCTAAGTACTGAGAGAGAAAACACTTGAAGAAAACCAGGACTGCTGGGGCAGATCATGATTTCTGCTTGTGCAGATTAAGCCACCGGGCTCTCTGGTGCTTGGGGGGATGGGGGTTAATAGGAAGGGATATGGTTCTGGAGTCAGAAGAAAGGTCTGTGTGCTCATAGATGTGACAATTGAAGCCCAGAATAAAGGTGAGCTTGCCTAGAGGGAGATTTCAAGAAAGCAGAGGCTGAGTTTGTGGTACTGGACATTCCATGCTCAGGTAGAGAATGAAATTTGTTATCTCATTTATTTTGCCTTCAGATGACAGTCACACTTTCACCTTCATCACCATGAACAACTTCTCATCAGACGTAACTCACTCACACTCTCCTTTGTACCCTCACACCAAAGTTCCTATTGGAAATATGGGGCCGCTTAGTTTCATTCATTCATTCACTCATTCATTCACTCACTCATTCAGAAAAAGATTTTACTGAGTATACCATATGTGAGGCACAGGGGCTATTCAAAAATTAGGAAGACAGATGTCTAGTGGCTAAGGGATTATATAGTCTACGTGACAAAGACTTCCAAATGAATACATTGTATAGTAAAATGGAATCATATGCAAAGCACTGAACTAAAATTCCAGCTATGGACATCTAAGAGATCACTGTACATTGTCAACATATTGACTCATCCTGCCACCAATAGTTCTAGAATCATACTTCCCTAGATGCGATGTCATGCTGACTCTCTGGGGCCAGCCTAGCCAGCAATTACAGTTTCCCTGTGACTCTGTCACTCCCTGACCCCAACATTCTCTTCTTCTCCATCTAGTTGTAGCTTGAGTAACCGGCTCTGCCTCCATTCATGGGATTCAACAAGTCTGGTGTTCATCAGGAGAACTATCTCACACTCTGACCTCACTTCCCCAACCTCTTCTACTTGGACAAATTTATCTCCACTCTAGTTCAGAAATCCCTTTGATGGCCATTGTTGGGATGTCACCATCTCCTCTTTCAGAACCTTTCACACCAACGTGCATCTCACTGACTACAGCTTCTGCTTCTCACATTTCCCCAACTCTCTGACTTTCACAAATGTGCTACACATCCTCCTCATAAATTTCAGTCCCTCAGTTCCTTCCTCTCCACCCAGTTCCTAGCCTCGTGATCTTCCAGGTTAATGATGTACTTACTGGTGTTTCAGACATCCTGACTTTCTTCTACATCCACATGGCCAAAGCCCAACTCTGAGTGTACCTAGCCACCTATTTCTCTCAACATCCCAGGATGTTGAATGATGCTGGAGCAAATTAGATTAATATATTGATTGACCCTATTTCAGATCATTATGATCTAGCATCAGCACTGGGAGCACATTCTTAGTTAACCTTTTATTTCAAAGATTCCAGATTCTAGGGTGCATTAGGTTCACCCACCTTCAGAGACTATGATTTAGTAGGTCTAGGATGTAGTTCAGGAATCTCATAAGCATATACCTGATGAATCAGATAACATGCCTTATTTCATTTTATGTAACAGCAATACACTTTCTATTACTCTCAAGATACCTGTCCCAAACCTCTTGCTCAGCTGATGAACTTTTCCCCTAACCAATCCATTGGGGAAAACCAATGTGCCTCTTCTTCTCAAAAAACTGAATTAAATAAATAAATAAATAAATAAATAAATAAATAAATAAATAAATAAATAAAATAAAGCCTAATTTTATTAGAGTTGTCCTCCTTTTCTTTCCTTCTTTTTGAACTTAGCCCTGATGCTGCTGGACTGTCCTAGCTCCTCTAGGATCTCAGCTGGTAAATAATCTCCTCACACTTTCAATCTCTTTTCTCCATTGGTTTCTTTACCAGAGCCTAAAAACAACTTCAGGTTTCACCTATCCTGAAAAATATTCCTTCAGGGTTGTTCCACCTCAGGTTCTTGTTTTAGTCAGTTTGAGCCACTACGAGACTGAAATTAGGATGCCAGTGTGGTTGGGTTTGCGTGAGAGGAGAGCACACTTCCTGGTTTGTAGATAGCAACCTTCTTGTTGTATCCTCACGTGGCTGAGAGAGACCTCCTCTTTATCCCCCATTAAGGACACCAATCCCATGATGGGGACTCCACTCTCAAGACTTCATTCAGAATCAATTTTCTCCCAAGGCCCCACCTCTGAATATTAGCACACTAGAGATTAGGATTTAACATATGAATCGGGGGGGGGGGGGCGGTGGAGGACATAAATGAGCAGCTCATAGCAATTATTTTATTGGTTTTCTCCACATTCTTTCTTTTCTATTTGGGGGATTTTTTTTTTTTTTTGCTTAACCGATTTTAATAACATGACATAAAGCCCCTACACTTGATAGAATCGTTATGCAAAATACATAGATGAATACTGTCTTCTTTTAAAAATATAAAATAAATAAGCAAGACATGTGAAAATAGGCAAGTTTTCCATTAAATAAATGAAAATTTTTAAAAAAAGAAAGTTTTGCTTTCCATATCATTTGAAGAAGGGAAATTATCATTTTAAACAATATTCAAGTTTATTAAACAAATTTTAAAAAAGTATTATAAAATGTTTAACTGTCATCAGCTTCGAGGTTTATGTTGCTCCCGAATTTTGCATATAACTGAACTTTTAGATCCGCTAACACTCGCTGAATTGATTCCACTCTGGCTTCTAAGGCGTCAATTTCTTCTTGCAAATTTTTCTTTGCTTCTTCTAACATTTCCTGTGTCTCTTCTTGAGAATGGCTAATGAAAACATCACCAATTTGATAAGGTATCATTAAGCAATCATCATCTGCAAGCATGATGTCCTCACAAGCATCTTCTAAATTCTGGAGTTGTTTCTTTTTTATTTCTATTTCCTCCTTCAGCTCTGTGATTCTACTTGTATTCTGTGCAAATTTGTTTATCTTTTGTTGATCTTCAAAGGTAACGTTGACATCTTCTGCAGCCGCCTTCTTCATGGTGGCCGCCATCTTGGGACTTATTTGGGGAAAAATTAACCACTTCCCCCTTGAGCATAAAATCATTACATTGAAAAAAATAAAACTAATTCAGAAGTATTAAATTAAAACATAAAAATATCCCATAATCTCATCTCTAAGAGATAAACACTGTTAATAGATTGGAATATATCTCTCCAGAATTCTTTTTCAGTAGATCTATATATATATATTTCTTTTTTCCTTGATATTAGGTGAGTGTTTTTTTTTTTCCATGTAAAACATTCTATTCATCTTCCTATGCCAATGTATAACTCCCATTGCAAGGCTTGAACTCAAGACCCTGAGATCACCATGACCTGAGCTGAGATCAAGAGTCGGATTCTTAACCGACTGAATCACCAGGCACCCCTATATAACTCATCTTTTTAATCACTACATAGCATTGCATTGTACAAACATGCTATAATTTAACTAGCTCCTTTTGACAGTTGTTTCCAATTTCCACCATTAAATGAAAATTCTCATGTATATACTTACTGATCTCTTAACACAACTTCCTTGAAACTGAGTTATTTACTGATCAAAGAATATGCATATATCAAGTGCTTTAAAAGTACTTATTTATTGCTCCCATTCTTTTCAATATTGGTTAATGCAAACCATTTTCAATCTTTCCCCAATATAACAGCTAAAAAATAATATTATTTTATTTTTTACTTTTTAAAATATTTTATTTATTTATTCATGAGAGATGCACAGAGAGAGGCAGAGACATAGGCAGAAGGAGAAGCAGGCCCCCTAAGGGGAGCCCAATGTGGGACTCGATTCCAGGACCCTGGGATCATGACTGGAGCCAAAGATGCTCAACCACCATGCCACACAGGTGTTCCAAAATATTGTTTTAGTATGCATTTCTTTGGTTAATGTGAGGTTGAGCATCTTTCATGTGTTAGCTATTTGTATTTATTCTTTTATGAATTTTATATTTTTGTCCTCTACCTGATTTTCAAGGTAGTTTAATTTTTTATTTACTAATTTTTTGTCACTCTATACAGTGTAAGATATAATAAATCTTTTAGCTGTTATATGTGGCAAATCATTTTCCAGTTAATCATTTATCTTTAATTTATGATGGTATTTGGTTGCCATATAGAAGTTTAGAAAATTTATGTACTCAAGTCCACAAACCGTTCTTTTACGGTTTTCAACTTTTTTATTTATTTATTTATTTATTTATTTATTTATTTATTTATTTATTTTAAAGATTTTATTCATCCATTCATGAGAGAACAGAGAGGCAGAGACATAGGCAGAAGGAGAAGTAGGCTCCTCATGATGCGGGACTCAATTCCAGGCCCCAGGGATCATGCCCTGAGTCAAAGATAGACGCTCAACCACTGAGCCACCCAGACATCCCTTACTTTGTTATTTATTCTAATAAAGACTCAACCTATACCAAAATTACAAAAATATTAAACTTTGTCCTATATTTTCCCAATATTTTCATGATTTTACTTTTCATACTTATATTTTAAATTTTTCTAGATTATGATTTATAGCATAAGATAGGATTCTAATACATTTCACAACTATTTTGACAAGTTTTCCAACACCATTTGATTTGGAATTTTATCTATCCTATATAAAAAATTCCCCAACATAAAATTATGATTTTTAATTACTCTAGCCCTGCTATACCTTTTGATGCCTTTCTGCTTAGAATAGGTATCATCTTCATTACTATTTTCAAATATTTATTAGCTAGGTGAACTTTAGAATCATTTTTAAGTTCCATCTCTTCCCAACTATAATTAATGAGGAAACCTTTACTTTATAAAGTCATAATATGAATTTTCCTATTCAGAAATATAATTCTCATCTCTCTATTCCATCTTTTTTTATCTTCTCAAGCAAAATTACATTGTACCCTTCTCCATTAGGTCTTGCAAATTCTTATTTATTTGATATTTAGTTGTATTTATTTTTGAAGTTAGGAGGAAATTCCTTATTTTATTCTATTTTCTAACTGACCATTACAAGCAAAACTCTATTTCTATGTATATATCTATTAACTGTCCATCCTAATGAACTTTTTAATAGTTTCACGTAGGTTTCTAGCTGACATCATAGTGAAACTTGTTTGTTGCCTATTTGGAATCTATTCAATTCTTTTTCTAATAGTACCAGATTTTCATTTGGATACCTACCTTTTTATTTTTCACCAATTATAGGCTTTGGGTGAAAGATGGATTATACCCAGGTTTTAGGGTAAACACTGATTAGTATAAGCCTATCAGAATCATTTTCCCACCTTTGAAAACATGCCTCATTCAGGAATAAAAATGTGGTTCAATTTGGGCCAATAAATTTGAGAAGCTTTCTGGGGCTTTTGAAAGGAATTCCTTAATTTCTTACTTCTTCTAGAAAGCTATAAAAATACGGTTCTCTACTATCTCTTGGACATGGACAGGGAAACTTATAGCCTCAATTATTACATATACACATCCTATAAACTTGGGGGAAACTAGGCTTCTAATTAAGGTAGGAGAATATAGTATGAACTATAAATAATCATCATTTACTATTTTCCTTTTTAATATTCCTATTTATTTCTTTTTCTTGCCTTATGCTATGGGCAGAAACTATTACAAAAATATTGAATCACAATAATGAAGAACAGGCATCCTTATATTGTTTCTGAATTTTAAAATAATGCCTTTCTTATACGATTCATTAAGTTTCATGCTTCCCATTTATCATACTAAGACATTTTTAAAAATTTGCTAAAAAATGTTATTTTAAAAACATGAATGGATATTGGGTTTTATCAAATGTCTTGAATATTTAATGAGGATATTGCATTTAAAGATTATTCTGTTAATCATTATGTCATTAATTAATTATACTGTATTTTAAATGTTCTGTTAAAATACATGCATTTCCGAAAAAACCCTACTTCATCATGCATGATATACAAATACATATACTGTTAGATTTAATTTTCCAGTATTTTTTTTACTTGGATATTCACCGTTAAAATTATAAATAGGTGATTTGTGCTTTATTTTTCAGACCTTGATAGAAGACTAATACTATCCATGAACAAATGAACTGGAAAGATTTCCATATTTCTCTATTTTATGTAATGATTTAAATAAGTCAAAGGGTGCCTGGGTGGCTCAGTTGGTTAAGTGTCTGCCTTCGGCTCAGGTCATGATCTCAGGTTCCTGAGATCTAGCCCCACATCAGGCTCCTCTCCTTTTCCCTCTGCCTGCCACTCCCCCTGCTAGTGCTTTTTTTTCTCTCTCTGTCAAATAAATAAATAAAAACTTTAAAAAATAAATAATTCAAGAAATATCTGTTCCCTAAAAAATGGTAGGTTCCATTTATATACAAATATGAGCCAAGCTCCTTTTTGGGTAGTCGATTTTTGAGAATGTTTTAATATCACAGTTACTGCTATTTATATGTCTTAAGTAAATTTTGGTCAGTTATGCTTTCCTATAAACTCTTTAATGTAGACTTTCAAAGTTATTAATACAGGTACATCATACAATTTTAAAGCATCTTTTTAAATTTCAAACATTATTTACTTGTACTTTCCTCTCTTTTCTCTTTGATCTAAGTTGCCAGAAGTGTACAACTTTAATTGTTGGTAATTTTTAAAAGATTTTATTTATTAGAGAGAGAGAGAGCTTGCACATGCACAAGCTGGGGAAGGGGCAGAGGGAGTGGGAGAAGCAGACTCCCTGCTGGGCAGGGAGCTCCATCCCAGGACCCTGAGATCATGAACTGAGCCCAAGGCAGATGCTTAACCAACTGAGCCACCCAAGCACCCTTTTTAAAAAAAAAATTAAATTCAATTAGCCAACATATAGTAAGTACATCCTTAGTTTTAGATGTAGTGTTCAATAATTCATCAGTTGCATATAACACTCAATGCTCATCACATCAGGTGTGCTCCTTAATGCCCATCTACTTTTATTGTTATATTTGAAGAAAGATGCCTTGACTTTTTTGTCAATTATGGTTTTGTTTTCTTTCAAGTCAACTAGTTCCTCTTTTTTCTTCATATATTTCTCCTTATTTATTTTAATTTCTTTTACTGTTCTTATTTGAGTTTACTGAGTAATTAATGTATTTTCAATTTTATACAGAATTATTTAACATATTTTAGGGACCAAACTTAGGTAGTAAATTTATGAAGAAATGCAAAGGAATGATAAACAAAAAGCTCAAGATAGGGGTTAACTATCAGGTGGTGGAAGAAGGGACAGATTTGAAGAACCAAAGAGGAGACTGTCATATAATAGACTAGTTGCTCATCAGAAACTGGGAGGTAGGTTCATAGATGTTCACTGTACTATGTATTTTTATACTTTATATTTGTTTTATTAATAAAAAGAAAAAACAAAACAACATTTAAAATGAAGGAAAAATGATCTCCTTGCTTCCCTCTCCTCACTGATTCACCCTATACATCCTTAAAAGAGAAATCTTTTTAAAACATGAATTACAACATTCTTTCCCCTAAAACTCCTTGATTTTCCATTTTCTTAAGGGTAAAGTCCAAACTCTCTAGACTGACACTCAAGGTCTTCCACAATATCACTCCTCCTCATATATCCAAATATATATATCAATATCCCCCAACGTGATGCGCTCCATTTTATCTAGAAAGGCCCATATAGTTCCCATTAAATGCCTTACTCATTTCTGCCTACAAGTCCTTACTTATGCTCTATCCTTTCGTCTAGAATGCCCTTCCTCTGCCTCTCTTCCCGTCCGAACAAACCCTATTCACTTCTTCTTTTGAAGGCCAAGCCCACTTTGTAACTCATAAATGAACCCTTCCCTCACAATTCCACTGAATAGTGAAACATCCCACAATCAAATGCCTATATTCTCACAATCAAATGCTTCTACCACTCACGGTGTAAATTACTCACTTCACTCTTAATCATAGTTTTTTAACTTTCTATCTGTGTGTATGTATATGTATGCATGCTTGTGTTCCCCCCCACAAAATG